TTGCCGGCTGGGTTTGAACCACGACACAGGTACATAAAAGTGCTGCAAGATAATTTTTTCTTGGCTTTTTTTGTAGTGATGAAACAAAAGAAGTTCTCCTCTTGCTGGTGAAAGTCAAAGCTCTGCATGTTGTTGAAGGCTTCATTGAAGAGTATAAACTTGAACATCTTAAATCGATGATTGGGAAATAGAAGATTTTGAAGGACCATTACTGAAACAAGCCCTCTAGTAGCACTAAACCAGCTCTAATATGAAATCTAATTAGTGAATCCTGCCCACTCAAAGGTGTAGTGGTAATCACTGTCTTACTGTTAAGTACTTGAGGTCTCTGTTCCAAATGTCTTCTACTGCCACCTGCTCCTAGGTTAAGGAGTCCTTTGAAATTACAGTTGTCAAAGCAGTGGCTCAGTCATTCTAAGATGTATGACAGTGTTTTATTGCTTTATCCTTTTGGGAAGGATTCCTGGAAAGAGAGAAAGTGCCTGTACAGTTTGTCACTGCTCACCAATAGACAACTTCACAAGCTATTTTCAGTTTAATGGCTAAATACCATTCTTACTCAGCATCGTTGAGCTTATCTTACTTGTGGTCCATAGTGATTTTGGCTAATGTCCAGCCATCCCTAGTGCAGGGGTTTTGACCCTACCACAGAAACAAGGGAAGTCATTGTGCAGTAAGGAGTGTGATGAATGTGTTTGTTGATGGTAAATGTGGCTTCAGCAAGGTAAGAACTTGCACAAGAGAACACCTGAGGAAGAGCAGACATGTAGTGAAGACAGCATCTGATCTGTGTGGTCTTGTATTGGAGTGGTACAGATGGAGCTTGTGTGCCCACAGGCAGAGCTGTGGCACATCCTGTTTTTGAGGCTTTTAATTACAGATGCGTTGATGACAAGCACAAGAACCAAGTCAATTACAATTACTAGTAACTGAAGCTCTAGGAAAGTCTTTCTTTTGCTTCCTGGCAAGATCTACTGCCCTTTACTTCATCATACCCTGATTAGATTTCTGATGTTGTATAACTTTTGTATATTTGCATTGAATATTGTTAGATAATAACAAGGATGCTTTATTGTAGAAACTGTAGTGCATCAACGACTCTGTATGTTTACTTGTGACTAGAATTTTAATTCTTACAGACTTAATTCTTGTGATTTCTTTTGTATTTTTTTTAAGTTAAAAATGTATTTTTGTAAAAAATGTTACTTGTAAATAGTTTTGGCCAGTGTTACAGACAAGGTGATTTTTAAAATGTTTTATTTTGAAAATGGAGTAAAAATATTTTGCTGTGTTAATGAGTCCTACAGTTCAGTTCTCTAAAGTGACAGGAATGTTATTAGAAGCATACAAAAACCTCAGGCACCATTAGCCTTCATTACCTCTAGGAGTTACGAGTTCATGTTCCACATCCTGCTTTCTAATAATGGTGAATTTCTGTTGCTTTTCCTCTCAAAATGCCAACAAAATTGCAGTAAGTCATCAGCAACCACCACCAGCTCCTGTCCTTATTGCTTATCTTGTTCTCTTGTCCCATCCCAGCTCTCTCTCCTGAAGCAACCAGCCTTGTGCTGTTATGAAAATGTGACAGATGTTCTATCACACTTCAGCTCTGTAGATGGTTCTTTCTGGAAGAAAGATCATGTGCAATGACTTGTCAGCACAGGAGCACAGTTTACACTTGAGCTCAGAACCCCTGTGTGCTTCTGCTATGGATGTGTAATTTTGTGAAACCAGCTGTCCCAGTCCCGAGTGCTCTGACACTCTGCAAGCATTTATCTTGAACCTTACACTAATTCACATGATCTAGCTTGAACAGCATAGTCTGTCTCAGCTAATGTGGTTTGGCTCTTCAGAACTGGTTTCAGATCATTTGTATTTGCTGCTCTGTTGGCAGAGCAGTAACACTCGTCTCTTGGAAACAGGAAACTTTTTAATGAGAAAACTAAATGGTGCTTATGCTGAGAGTGTCCAGTTGGCTCAGACATCTCTACTTCCCTGCTATAGCCCACTGCTGAGGTCAAGCAGTTCTACAACTGGCCCCTCCCTACTCTGCAAAGAGAGAAGCAGCAGGTGTATTTGGGAATGACAATGCAACTAACTTGACTGGCTGATACAAACCCATCTCTTGAACTGTAATTTAAAAGAGGAGCCAGGTTCAAGCCCAGGTTGGATGAGGCTTTGAGCAGCCTGGTCTAGTGGAAGGTGTCCCTGCCCATGGCAGGGGTTTTGGAACTAGATTATCTTTAAGCTCCCCTCAAACCCCTCTGTGATTCTATGAGGCTCAGCAAAAGGAGTGGCTGTTTTCAGAAACAGAAAAGTCAGTGCTCAACCACAGGAGTCCGCACCCTTTGAAGTCTTCTGGAAAGGTTAACTTTATTGCTCTTATTGTTTATATTGCCTATGCATATTAAAAAAACCAACTGTACAAGCAATAATCTAAAGAGTAAAGTTAAAGTAAGTATGAAATTTCTCCATAATTCCTAGAGTGCAAAAGCCATTATTTTTTAAGCTCTTTGCTCACTTCTTGCCAAATTTTTTCCTCTAATTTCGAAGTATCATATTCTCGCAGCATATCAAACTCTAGCCAGGGCTTGCGCCACTTCTCTGCTTCTTTCATTTTTTTCTCAGGTAGCTCAAACTTTATTCCTTTTATGTTGAATTGTGGCCTTTCCCACCGTTTTGACCATGGTTTAGGTTTCATTCGTACCTGCAGCTAGGGGGAAAGATTAACAAATAAATAAATTTTAAAACAACCCAAAAGGTATTAAAGTAATCATAATTTTGATCATGAGCTTAGCAAAATGTGAGACAGCCACTGCTTTAACAAGGAAATAAGAGAAAACAGACCAGTTTATCAGTGTTAATGAACTACTACTTTACTCTGTTAGCCAAAAGGGAATTTTTTTGTGTCTACATGACTGTTGTCATAGTATCGTGTGAAAATTTTTAATTAACAATCTTGATTTATTTATATAGTCTTTAAATTGACACATTAAGTAAAGTTAAATCATCTTTTTAAGTTCTGCTCCTTATTACGGAAAAAGATGAGTAGCCTGACTGGGAAAGGGAAGAATGATCACTCTAAGCTACTGAATTACCAAACAACACTGTAACAGGCTCTGCTGGTTGCTGTCTCTTCGCCCAGAATGCAGATTTTAGCTGTTTCTTCCAGTCTTACCTTCCTTATGGACACCTCACACTCCCAAATCCATAACCACATTACTGCTAACGTTTCTCTAAGAGCTTTTGTCTCTGCACTATGTTATGCAGAGGCATGTGGAGGCCAGCACTCCATGTGTCTCTTCAAAATTAACTATGGAGGATGGCAGGTATTTACATTTTCAACATTCTTTCACTACAGAAATGGCATAAAGACTCACCATATTTTGTATACTTTTGTCACCCTGGTAACAAACGTAGCAGAGAGCTGTTTAACAGCCTGCCAGACTATCAGTCACGTATGAAAGTTACCTAAATGATCCTCCACTTTCCCTCTGAAACACATGGCTCTTACCTTGTTTACAGGGATTTCTTCATGGGCTAAATGAGACACAGGTTTCATATTCATATCAAAAGTACTATATTCAGGGAGAGCATCTCGCAGGTACATCAGGTTGTCATCCAGCCTCTTTTCCAGCTTTAGAACCTCTATCGACTGGATTCGAGGACTGTACAGTTCATAACGTATTTCAACGCCTTGGAGAGAGAAAGTCTGGCTTAATGAACCAAATTCATTAGAAATATTAACACCAAATTGGTTATCAGTGTTACACATTCCTGTATTATTCAAGAACTTTTTACTTCTCAGAAAATTAAACATAAGAGCACTGTATGCACGTGTGATTGTACATGTGCATTGTGTCTGCACAGGCAAATGCCAATTTCCAAGACAAGTCTTTGATAACAGAATGTCTTAAGAGACATAGATGGCTTGAATTTAAGTCGGACGAGCTTGGGTTTTAAACTTTACTTCCCTTTGGTTACAACAGCTGTTACTACATAGCTCACTGTATGTGTAGTGTATATAAAGAGACACCCACCGCTTACGTATTTGCTCTCAGAACATCAGTATTTGCACTGCCCCCCATTTTGTCATAAACCAGAATATGAACCTGTTAATAAATGCTGCTTGTTGCTTATTAAATAGTTCACGTTCCTGCAAATACACAGTGCTCAAACAGGGCTAGTATTTGCATGGCTAGCAGACGATTACCCAGGCTCAAATATAAGCACAACCATAGTGGATTGCCTTCAGTCTTTCAGAACACAGATCTATAAATCACTAAATATAGACAAAAAACTTACTACGAAGCTCCACGCCTTCACCATATAGTACATCAACATCTCTGTGTATACAGTTTTAAACTTGCAGTATCCTTAGTAGGTAGGATCATGATTTCACTTTCACCTACTGTCATCCTCTCCACAGACTAAATTTCTACACCAGATAACACCTCGTACAACTCCAACATTTTTTTGGCTTAACTTTTCTAGCGTAAGTAGTAGTGGTAGGACAAGGGGGAATAGCTTTAAACTGAAAGAGGAGAGATTTAGATTAGATCTTATGAAGAAGTTCTTCCCTGTGCAGGTGGTGAGGCGCTGGCACAGGTTGCCCAGAGAAGCTGTGGCTGCCCCATCCCTGGCAGTGTTCAAGGCCAGGTTGGACACAGGGGCTTGGAGCAACCTGGTCTAGTGGAAGGTGTCCCTGCCCATGGCAGTTAAAACCCACCTTGGTCTTCTATAACGTTTCGAAGAACAAAGGTAGCACCAAGTCCTTTTCCCCCTCTTTGAATGCAGATGCCTACAAACCGGTTGGTTTTGTTATTGGCATATGGATCTGCAGTAGTAACAGCAAGGATGCTGCCTGCCAAAAAACAATACATGAAAATAAGTAAGACTGTTCAAATAAATACATACTAAAACGTGGGAAGAGTCAGACGAAATGCATGCATTCTGGTACATTCTGGAAACGTTTTATTTTCCATGAAAACTGCCAGAAACAGAATAAACTTCTAACATGCCCTGAATTCGTGTATGTTAAAGTGATTCTGCAGGTTAACTATGGAGCTTCTTCACCTTTGCACCTTCCCCTTTATCATTTACTCTCGACTATCCAAACTGAATACAAATAATGTATTTTCCTTTCTTGAGCCTTACTGGTAAACCATATGCTGAAGTTCCAGGATTGAAAAAACATGTAAGAAACTCATCAGTATTATATCTTTAATGGAAAACAGATGTAAATATGAAATTAAAATGTGAAGTAGTATGTACAGGAACACATACTAGTTGATCTAACACACCTGACACTGTGATGCTCAATGCTATTTAACAACATCTGACCACACTTTTTACACACCCCCCTCCCCAAAACCACTGATGAAATTATGAAAGTTTTAGTGCTGTTACTCACCAACATAGAACTCAGGGATGTTGAAGACCTTTCTTCTCTGTATCATATCCTTCCTTTCTATATAGAATTTAAAAGGATCTGTTCTCCCTCTGGGAGGTATAAATTCAGGGCTCAGGAACCTAGAAGAAAATTCAAACTTTTAGAAGTATGAACCAAAAGCATAAAAAGTACCAGGGAAGCTCAAGTATTTGGCCTAAAAATTAGCCACCTGTTAAGCACTGATACCAGCTGCCTTTTCAGAGATACGAATGAACTGCAGTTCAGGAAGTTACCCATTACTTTTTTGGTGAGGTTTTGTTGTTATGTGTTTTGTTCACTGGCTTCCTTCTTTTACACAAGTTTTCAAAACCAGTAAAAAATGTTGGTCTTCATGAGTCGACTGAAAGAGCTGAAGTTCACTTAGTGTTGTCACAGCTATGGAATAGGTTACGTCCCTGTTTAATTGTAATTCATGTGACTGAACACTTATGATTTTATAGTAACAGATATAGAGCAATATATTACCAGCTTTTACAAACCAGTTCTATAGGAGACGACACATACATGTTCTTTTGTGTTACGACAGGCTTAAAGGGACTCTTAAACCTATTTTCTGCTCCAATAAATTAAACCATGCCAAGGAATTTCCTCATGCCCTGGACCTCAATTATCTAAGTGCTGAGCTGAAGGCACACATCCTGACACAGTACTGGCCTGGGCCAAGGACTGTTTCCAACAGACCATTTGATGTGGTCACGCTGGTTTGGATGGTAAGACCGCTTGGTCTCAGGGCTCGAGAATGAAGCTGGACACATCTAATTCACCAGCACAGATGTATCTTAGAAGTTCTGGATCTGGCCAGGAGAAAAATGCCCAACACAGAAGTGGAGGACAAATGCAAACCTGCCTTACAAACCTTACAGGGACTGCAGGGGGGGAGCAAAGGGCAATGTCTGTGGCAGCACACAGGTTGTGGTTGGTGCTGCTGCCTAAACAACTTCAACCCTATTCATAATCTTCAAAGCTGCACAATCTCGGGACAATAAAACATCATTCAAACGTAGCTGCCTGTCCTGCAGCATCACACCCTGCGTTTCTTACAGGAGCCACACAGGCTCTTCGCTTCTTAAACGTGTTTCCATAAGCAGATCTTAAGACAGAGGGGAAATTTTTACAGTCAGATTTTTAATAGCTTCCCCACTCTTAGGCTGCCTACATGCTACGAGGTAGGTTGTTTTTTGGCGAGAAGGGAAGATGACCAATACAGTGCTACCACTCTCCTTACAGACACAGCACTGCAGTTTTAACCACTGTGCAGTGGTTAAAGCAACGCAAACGGGTTGAGGTGAAAACCAAACCACTCAAACAAGAGGCGCCTTGGGAGGGTTACCACTGACATCAGCTCCACTTCACAAACAGCAGCAGCTCACAGCTGATCTCAACGGCTTAGGCAAAGGCTGACACAGGACCCACGTCCCTGCCACCATGTGGAACGCTGAGGAAATGCATCCCTTTATCAGAACCGCACACATTAACCAAAATTTGCAAAAGTGGTTATGCTACACAGTTTTTTTCATGTTTCACAGCTTTCAGGAACCCTATAACACAGCATTTTAAGGTGTTTTAAAATACACTTCAATACAAATGGTCCTTATTAGAAGTATGAACATGCTTTTTGGGTAGTAGCAGCTTGGAGCTGTAAGGAGGTGGTCACACGAATCCCAGCTCCCGCTGCGGCGTGCAGCAGTACACCTTACCTTCTCTTCTCTTGCTGCTTCTGCTTGTCAACAATGACGGGCTTTGGAGGCGGCTGAAATTTTGCTGGCTTTCCATCGCTGTCTGATCGATACCCCGAGGAAGAGAAATACCCTGTAAAGAATAAAGGAATATCAAACCCCGTGCTTTCAAGTTGAGCCGCCCCAACACCCGCGCACTTCCAGAGCCCCCTCCCGCAGGCCCCGCTCTCGGGCACGCTGAGGGACAGGGGCACGGCGGGTGCTCACTGCCGGGCAAGGC